GGCGTTACAGGTGAACACATAAGCTGCTCTGACAGATAGTGAGAGGGTCATCTGAAATGGACCTCTGAATGCATCAACATCTGTATCGCTTGTAGATGATGGGGGGGTAATATAAACCAGCTTGTTGCTGCAGAGCTTGGTGAGAATATATGCAGTCATGGGTAATGCAACATAAGGAGATGCAATTTGAAGTGACGATCGGGATATTAAAGATACAGGCCAATGGAGTAATAATCCACTACTTAATTGCTACTTCTAAAGCTAGAAGAGTATTTGATCCAGTCCATGGTTTAGTTCCTAAGATCAGTTGGGAATGCTGCTGCTGTGCAAACCAGAAACAAGCAGCAGTAATAGCATGAGGGTGTCTCCTGCTGGGATTGTTCCTGAGCCTTTGCAAAGGAAAGGCCTCAAACTTCACGACATAATCTACATCGCCCCAGCTCTGGTTCCAGAAAAGCTAATAGCGGGTTTGGTGTTGGTTGGTTTTTTTTTTCTTCAGCACCTGCTCATCAAATATGAACTATTTATAGTTATCAGTCCTGAATTTGCCTGTTGGGGAGAAAGAGGGGATGCATTTCCACCAGCCCAAATCAAATTAGGGTCCTGAGATTGGGGATCAGGGAGGAGGGTCTTCAGGTGATGTGTAAGCTGCCTCCATTTCTATCCCCTTGGAGCAGTGTGAGCAGAACCAGAAGTAACCTCTTTCTTATTTTCCAAGCAGCAGCTAGTTTACTGCTACTTCTAAGATTCTTAATCAAAGTAAGGAATTGATATGCTGTCATGGTTTAAGCCCAGCCAGCCACAAAGCACCATGCAGCTGCTTGGTCACTCCTACCCCACTCCTCTGTTGGTTGGGAGAAGAAAACATAACCAAGAGGCTCGAGGGTTGAGAGAAGGGACAGGGAGGGCTCAGTCACCAGTTATGGTCACAGGCAAAAGACAGACTCAGCTTGGGCATAACAACATGAGTTTAATTCGAGCACCACTACTATCACCAAGGGTAATGAGAAGTACAACCAGGCCTTAAAAATGCCTTCCCTCACCCCTCACTTCTTCCTGGGCTCAGCTCTGAGCTTTTGTTTGGTAATGAAATCCTCTTGCATGGAGCTTCAGTGACCTGCAGGCACTTAAAACCCATGGACTTTAAGCTGGTCGTCTTTAGCCAGTCCAATCTCTTTGAGACACTGGCTTCTTGTGCTGGTCACCTTGCAACTGGATCACTTCTCCATACTCAGGGTGTTCAATTACAGTACCATTGTGGGCAAATTTACCCTTCTTAAATAGGTTTATTTGCAGAGGTGCTGTTGGACCTGGCCTTGGCAGGGCTGAACTGGAGCCAGGGAAGCTTCAAGAAGTTTCTTTCAGGAGCCACCTCTGTGGCCCCCTCCCCTGCTACCAAAATGCCACCAGCCCCAAACCCTAAACATAAGCTACTATTCTTGGCTGGTTTTGTCGTAATTGCTTAGCTTCTCTGATGTTTGTGTGTAACACTAGGCATGCAGACCAAAGTCTAATTGTATTTTCTTTTCTCTCCCTTCCCATATGTATTGATGCAAGATTGTTGAAGGTGAGTTGATGCTTTACAACTGAGCATGGAATTGTCCTAATTTCCCCCACCCCATCTTTTCCAATGAACTTGAGCAGCATGGATTGAAGCTGCATTTACCAAAAGGCAAAGGACAGTGCTAAAGTATCTGGCCAATGTTTTAGAGAATCTGTGTTTGATACTTTCTACAAGCTCTTATAGCAACTATCTGGAATAAAATACATCCAAGCTGCTCAAAATATGTTTTCTTATTTTCCAAATACAGAAGTTGTGTAGGCCCAGAGTTGAGAATTTCAGTTAGCACTGGAATATCTGCCTTGTGTAAGAATGTTGAAAGGCTTTTTTGGGCTGTGTTGCAGTGAGGGAACTAAAGGAGGAAGTTGTTTGTGGTCGTAGTATTCACATTCATGTCTAGACTAACATGCCTCAAATTTAGTACTGAGAATTATTAACAAGTGTGGATTTTATTTTTCTACTTCAGGTGTTACAATAGGTATAAAGAAGTTAATCCTTTTACCTTTCAGACCTTGTTCTGATTGTAATATCTCAGATGTGTTAGTGTGGTGTTAGCTGCTTGCTTAGCATGTAATCTGTTCTGTGCTCTCAGTGAAGCAAGAGCAGGTAAAAAATACTTGCAATAAAAGCTGTAGCTGAATACTTATGCAGGAAGGAATTTTAATTTTGTGGCTATTTATGTAATTGATTAGTGCTTGATCGTTGTCACATATACACTGGAGTTGCAGAGAAAAGGATTGCATGCTGTTTCCAATTGTAAAAAGCAAACAGCAGCTCTTTAACCTTTGGATGTTATAGACCAGGCAAAAATTTTTATCATCCTTTATCTTGGGCAATATAACTCCATTTTCAAGTTACCTTGGCTCAGGAGGAAGGTGATGAAAATGTCTAAGGAGACACTGTGTAAAGTATTTTTATAACTTCCAAGTGCTCTTAAAAAGACTCATTTTATAGAAACTGCCTTTGAGTGGGGAGGTTTGATTTAACACAGACAAAAAAACTGGAACAAATTAACATCATACCTGGATAGAGCAGTGAGAAACCACTGCAGCTCCATAATTAGGGTTTTAGATTTAAGCATCTCTTCCATCACTTCTGAACAAAGCACTCTGGGTTTTCCCAGGCCTTGTTGTTGTGTGTGTGCTACCTCGCCATGCTACTTGGGCACTTAACTTCAGTCCTCTCTCTGTCTCATGTCTCATAGCAGTTGTTGCAGTTCATCAACATAGTATGGTAGGATTCTCTGTTAGTAAGAACTGGGAGAGCTGGCTTCCCTTTGTAGGGGAGATTTATTCACAGGTAACGTAACTGTGTGAAACTTAGGATGCCAGGAATCTTTAAGATCATTTTTTATCTGTTTGTAGGGTGAATAGAGCAAACGTTTTTTGTTGATACGTAGCAGAATATTCACAATGTCTGGCAGTGTTCAGCCTTAATATTTAGGAAACTAGTTTGCATTTAACCCCAGTGAATATAGTCCGTGTAGCCGTTACAGGCTGTTTGTAATCATGCATTTCAAAGATAGTTCCAAGGATATATGTATATTATATCTAACTTAACAAAATTAAATTACAGAGAATCAGCGACAAAGGAGAAATCTTCGACTAAGAAGCCAGCGACAGTCAGATAGCTGCGTACTGAGTAGTGATGATGAAGATGAAACAAGAGATAACGATGTGTATGTGACAGATAAAGTGTCTCGAGAATTGGGACCACTGGAAGATGAAACTGCAAGTTCAAAGTATGTGTGCCTTATGACATACCAAACATTGAATTTTGCTTCTCTTATATGTACAGGACTAAGTTATATTACTATAACATGGCTTATCTTTGAAGTCTTAATTTATTCTAATTAGTCCCCTCTCTCAATGAGTACCACATCCGTTTTGCACGGTGACCAAATAATACTGTCTGCACTGAAGGGTAAAAAGCCAGCCCAAGACAGATGTACGACTTTGCACACAAGCTTAAAGATGAGTGTGGGGATATGGCAAGGAAGGAGGACTAGTCACTGGCCACAGCTCATCATGTAGTGCGTTTACTTTTCATGCAAAGCTTTAACAATGTTAGATATGGGAATATTGTCACTGGTGTCGATGAGGCTTGGTGTCACGAGACTGACAGGCAGCAGCCTGGCAAATTCCAGTGAAAACTATTATTGATTCACTGCTTTTTTACACACTGTCCCAGTTAACTGCCTTTTTCTCTGGGAGCGGTAACTGTACTGAGGTGTACTTGCAAGGTGATTGTGGAGGTAATACAGTTATGGCCAGGGTTTTTTTTTCTATCCCATGTATGGAGCTCTGATCTGTTTGCCTGTGAGATGAAGTCTCACTGTTTGGGTCAGGCTTCTGCACAATAAAGGCCCCGTTCTGCAGAGAAATCTTAAACTCCTGCTGTAGGAGCACTCCATTATGTTAGGAAAGGTACAATGCATTAGACTAATTAAATGAAATCAGGTGTCCTTGTGACTATGGAAGACAAAGAACGTGATGGTTGTGGTATAAACCTTCTTTAAAATGTTTTGGGGGGAAAAATAGGGTTTTTAATAAAGCTGGTGTGCTTTGAGCCTTTTGGATTACCGGGAGGCAATGTAGGAGAGAATTTGCGTATGGAAATTTTGGGTGTCAGATCTTAACTAAGCCACATGAAGGGCTTGTACTATTCTAAAACGTAGTGCATTTTGCCAATAGATTTGTAGACTTTTCAATTTTGGTTGTTGAGGATGCGGGTGAATAAATCCCACTAATTAGTTAAAAAAAAATAATGTTTTGTTACTTCAATCTCAAGCTTCTCTTTTAGAGAATGTGCCTTCCTGCTCTGTTTAGATAAGGCTGAACCAGCTCAGTGCTGCAGCATTTAACATTGACAGAAAGGTACTGATGCTGTAGGTTGCCACAGAGTGTTACTCTGTAGTGTTGGATTATTCTTGCTTATATGAAGGTTATTGTCAATTGTAATCAATTACTGAGTTGGTATTATAGCTGCTGCATAAAGGATTTGAGTAGTAAAAATGGGAGAATTAAGGGAATGAAATCATGTATGTCAAACTAGGGGTAGACATTAGTAGTGCTCACTGCTTGAATTAAAATTATGGGATAAAGGATATCTTGTGCTTTCTATTTCTGTTTAAGTCATAAATTACAAACTCGTTTGGCATGGGTAGTGACGTAATAAAGCCGAGTGTTTATGTAAAGACTTAGAAAAGCAGTGTACTGTGATCATTTAAAATAGAAAATAATTTGTAAATAAAACTGGCAGGAAGCTCTTTCTGATAGAGAATATTATTCAGCACTTACGGTAGGACATGTTCCTTGCACAGAATAGCTATGTCTTTGTAAGTCTGTGTGCAATACAGCTGTGCTGGGGGCTGAAGGCAGGACAGGTACGTCTGTAACCACAGCTTGGTAACAGCCACAGGGTCAGTCTTTCCTTCTCTGAACTAGAAATTTGGGTTTGGATATTTCCTCCCATTAGTGTGATCCTGCCCTACATCTGATAAGGAAGGAGTTCCGGGCGAGAGTATGTTGCCAAGTTGAGAATAGGGGATGTTTTAATTTCCAACAGCCTCTTCCACTTCTAGAATGAATAGTTTCCAAGGGACAGCTAGGTGGTTTTGTTCCAAAGCTCTTACTCAGGACCTGCTGAAGGTTCATACTGCCCTACGTGTACTGCACAGCACTGCAGACCGCTGTTAGTTCTAACAATAGAGCAGGGTGACAGACTGCTCCTTCCCCCTAAGGAAAACCAAGACGCTGTTTCCTTTGGGTAAGGGAGACCCGAACTACTTAGTGAATGCAAAAGTTGAGAGAGTTAAAGGTACGGGGGGTCTTGAGATGGAATGCATCGTGGCTAGTCTGTGCAGTGGGGTGATTACCTGATGTTTGATGTATTGGTGTCCCTCAGTGCATGGTGAAACTAACGGGTGTGTGTTCTTTCTGGTTTTGTTCTCTCTCCCACAAGGCCGTCTGGTACCGTTAGCTGTCCAATTTGCATGGATGGCTACTCAGAGGTAAGGATCCACATGTTGTCCTTGTTTCTTTTTTGTGCTGTGGAGAAGGGGGCAGAGGGTGAGCTGTGCAGCTCTGTTGGGTTATGTGGGATGTTACAGGGAGCTGGCTTGAAGGACAGACCTGGGGTTGGAGGTGAAAGTAGCTTGTAACCCGGAGGCATTTCTTAGTGGTGTCAGTAGCAGGAGAAGCACTTTCCAAGATGGCACTGAAAGATCTCTGGGCTCCTTATGATTAAAGTAGTAATGGGCTGATTCCAGATACCCCAAGTCCTCTTTGCCAGGTGCCAACAGACCAGCGAAGTTGAGTCCTTTACCCCAAATACTTGTTGTGGTTTCTTTTCTTCCAGATCGTGCAAAGTGGACGCCTGATTGTGTCAACCAAATGCGGCCATGTCTTCTGCAGTCAGTGCCTCCGTGATTCCCTTAGGAATGCCAACTCTTGCCCAACCTGCAGGAAGAAACTCACTCACAGACAGTATCATCCCATTTATATATGAGCCCTTGCTTCCACTTCTCAGGACAGACTCAACTGGATTTTGGGGGAAAATGTCATGTTTTCGGTGCTGTGAAGATTTAAAGCAGCATGTTGTGCACACATCCAAATAAAACTGGGTTTTTTGGAGAAGAACTTGTACGTATATAGTCAGCTTTTTTATGGTCCAGGCTGCTTCTTGTTATGTCCCTGCTTAGAATGTTAACTTTAAGACTGTCTCTAGACTAGACCAGCAGCCTCTATCACCAAG